CCTCCCCAGTAGCTAGGACTACAGGTGCCCGCCACCATGCCTGGCTAATTTTTTTTTTTTTTTTTATTTTTAGTAGAGACAGGGTTTCACTGTGTTAGTCAGGATGGTCTCGATCTCCTGAACTCGTGATCTGCCCACCTCAGCCTCTCAAAGTGCCAGGGTTATAGGCGTGAGCCACTGTGCCCTGCCCTAAGTACTAATTTTTTTAGGAAAAAACACAACCAAACAAATAAACAATCCCTTCACAGTTTTATAATCCACAACTCTTATGAAAAAGTGGTATTTAAATATAATACTAACAACATATAGACTAGTCAAGATATATAAAGAAGGCATTTGTTCATTTATTCATTGTTAGCTTATACTTAGTCTGGGTAGACAGTGGAGAATGAAGGCGTTATTTCCTCAAAAACTTTGCAGTCTGGTGAGGAGTAGATGAAATGATCATTAATACACAGGGTAGTAAGTGATGAGACACAGCCCTGAACTGGGTTCTATAGAAAAACAGAGGCGAGGATTTAAATCACCACATTGACATTTAATATGAAAGGAAACAAAGCCGTCTCTTTTCCAATAATGCTCTAGGTCTTCCATAGAAAATGTAAGTTCTCCAATACTGCCTTAAGTACAGTGAGAGCAGTATCTATAGGTAGACATTGACCCAAACATTCTTGAGTGACAGTTTACACCCTACTGAAAAACGAGAGTTTGATCTGGTAGATGGTGCACTTGATCTAGCGTAGACACGTAATTGAGGGAAAAAAAAAAAAAAAAAAAAAAAAAAAATCAAGCTAAGATACATGGAAGACTCAGAGAGGGTTGAAAACTATTTTGTAAGAGTTTTCTTAATCACAATCACTCTGTAGGGGTAGCTAGTAGTAAAAGTGTAAGTGGTTAAGATATGCTTCTTACATTGCTGCCTTTTTGCATTTCTCTCCCAGCTTTTGAGGTCCCCTCTCCTCTGCTCCCCACAAGTTCTTCTCTCTGACAACTCATAGCTGTCTGCTCTGGTATTCCACCCAAGCACATTTTCCTTTTATGCCAAAATAACTTCTCTCCATCAATCACTGTAAAGACTTCTATTTCCTTAATGGAAATTATATCTGATGTTTGAAGAAAAGTAATCTGATTTTTAAGCCATTTCATGCTAAAATAAAGGTGACTTTTCTGTGAGGCTTAAAATATTCCACAGGGTGGTTGCATTCTAAAGAGGATGCTTGTGGACATAAATACATTTTTAACTGGAAGAATTTCTTCACAGAGGTCAAGAATGACTACATTGCAGTGGCAACCCCCTGATATCTGTAAACCGGCCTACATTTGGCTACAGGGAGGGCACGTGTGTGGCCCTGCCAGTGTCCTCCAATCCATGAGCTCACGGTGAGATAGCGCTAAGCGTTCACTCAAAACTTGTTATGTGTTGTTCAAACTAGGGTTGGAGTTTTTTGAAAATTATAAAGCTTTTAGTCTTTGTAAGGAAGTCAGCATTTCTGAATATATTGGGCCTGGCCACATGAATGTCCCTGCTGAATGAACCCTGGATTGTCTTTTTTAGGGGTAGGGGGTCCTAACACAAATATCAGATTCAGTGAAAGCTAAGAGGACTCAAAGAATTTAGAAACACTAATACACTCCTAGTAATGGTTTATTACAGTGAAAGGCTGCAGATTAAAGTTAGTAGTGGAAAAATGTACATAGGGGAGGGTCCAGGAAACAGCAGACACAGCCTTTAGTTCTCTTCTTCCATAACATGTAAGTGAAAAGAAACAAATACAAGTTATAGACTGTCTTTTAAGATGTTTTTCAGATGCCAACTGCTCCCACAAAGTCACCATAGATCAACTGTGCCAGAGTTGATTGTTCTTTGAAATACAGAAGGAAGCTTTCACAGTTTTAAATGTATGGCCTTGTATTATAATTATGTATATTCTTATTTTTTATCCTTTGCTGGGGTGAAAGGTCCTGAAGGCATGAAATCCAGCTGATACATCTTAACTTGCTACCATCTCTGCCCTTATTCACGGCAGGGGATCCATCAATATATGTTAATGAATATAAGAATATAATTATCCTATTTTTTTTTTTTTTTGAGACGGACACTCGCTCTGTTGCCCAGGCTGGAGTGCAGAGGCGCGATCTCAGCTCACTGCAAGCTCCGCCTCCCGGGTTCACGCCATTCTCCTGCCTCAGCCTCCAGAGTAGCTGGGACTACAGGCGCCTGCAACCACGCTCGGCTGACTTTTTTTTTTGTATTTTTAGTAGAGACGGGATTTCACCGTGTTAGCCAGGATGGTCTCGATCTCCTGACCTCGTGATCTGCCCGCCTCAGCCTCCCTAAGTGCTGGGATTACAGGCGTGAGCCACCGCGCCCGGCTCTGCCACCTCTCTTACATAAAATGTATTAAAAAGTAGTTTTGAGACCTCAGCAAAATTGAACAGAAGGTGCACAGAGTCCTTATGTGCCCCTGCTTCACCATGCATGGACTTCCCCACGGTCTCCATCCTGCCTGAGTCATCAATAAGTTCCAATGGATGAACTTACATGGACA